TAATCCACTCACCTCAGCCTCCCAAAGGCGCGGGATTACAGGCTGAGCCACGGAGCCTGGCTGTATGGGCTCTTTTCAGCAAAAACTTCTTCCTCTTCCAATGGCTCATTCATTTCTCTTGTAGCGGAAGTGAAATTGAACAAGTGATCTGTAGATACTCAGACCTTCCACGTCTTCACCACGTTTTCCTCCTCTACTCTTGGCAGTCTGTCTTCTGTCTACATCCTGCCGCTGAAACAGTTCCCATCCTTGTATTCTGCTTTGTAATCTCTTTTCCAGTCTGACACTGTTTCTCACTCCCTCCTTCTTGCAACTCATTCCCTATCATCCTCCTCCCTCTCTCACTTCCCTGAGTCCTGATGTGCACACCGCTCTCTAACTGTGGGTACACCTCCTCTGCTCAGCCCCCTGCAATTTTCTCACTGTCATCAGTCTTTCAAGAATCTCATCCGGCTGAGGTGAGTGGATTGCCTGAGCCCGCGGGTTCGAGACCTGCCTGGGCAACTTGGCGAGACCTCATCTCTACAATAAATTAAAAATCAGCCGGGCGTGGTAGCGCGCGCCTATAGTTCCAGCTACTTGGAAGGCTGAGGCAGAAGGATCGCCGGAGCCCAGCAGGTCGAGGCTGCGGTGGCCGGGAGCGGCCACTGCACTCCAGTCTGGGCGACAGAGTGAGACTCCAACTCAAAAAAAAAAAAAAAAAATCTCATCCAGCGTTAGGCCCTCACAATCTTTTTCTGTGGAGAACTCCCAAACATTCAACCCATTCTCTCCCACAAGCCCAGTGCTATAGAAAACTGCTACTTGGGTCATTGCTTTGCTAAACTCTGGTGTGTCCATGTGGCTGTCTGAGTTACTGCTACCAAGTTTCTTAGCTTTGGCTCCCTTCCCTACCTTGGAGAGGTGAATTTCTCTCTCTCTTTCTCTCTCTCTCTTTCTCTCTCTCTCGTCTTTCTAATTTACTATCTAAATACACTATTTTCCAATCTAAAAAAAAAAGAACGCTACTTGAAAGTCCCAAGCTTCCATCAAATTCAGTGCTTTAAACTCATTACCCATCTGTTTAGTATTATCACCAAACCTGAATGTCCCCCCCGTTTTGTTGGTCATATTTCCGTCTCCACACTCCTGAAACTCCCAGGTCTGAACTTTCAGGATCATCTTTGACAACTTTTGTTTCTGTGTCTCCTCTATCAACTTTACATCTCTGTTCTGTGGATTGTTCTTTCACAATCTCTCTTAAACCGCTGTGCCCGGCCCAGGACATCTCAGGTCCACCATCACACCCCACCCAAGGACTCTTTCACTGGTTCTTAATATCACACGTATGGGTACTTCTATAGTTTTTTCCTGTTTTATTTTTTTTTTTTGAGTTGGAGTCTCACTCTGTCGCCCAGGCTGGAGTGCAGTGCCACGTTCCCAGCCACCGCAGCCTCAACCTGCTGGGTTCTAGCTCCTTCCACCTCAGCCCTCCAAGTAGCCAGAACTACAGGCACGCGCTGCCACGCCCGGCTGATTTTTTGATTTACTGTAGAGATGAGGTCTCACCAAGTTGTCCAGGCTGTTCTCGAACCCATGGGCTCAAGCAATCCCCTCACCTTGGCCTCCCAGCCTATGGTTACTTAACAGAGACCCCTGACTTTCCCCTCAAATTCACCCCACACAATAAGAACAGGTTAATTTTCCTAAAACATGACCTTCATCATTCTCTGGCTTAAAATTCTTTAGTGACATTATTTTGTTGAAAAAAAAAAAATAATGTCCTTCAACCTGACATCTCAGGCTCCCCCTCAGTAGACCCAGTTTCTTTATGTATCTGATCTTTTGTTTCTCTTTTCCTCGACATGAATTTTTTAGTTCCAGTTTCCCGTTTGCCCCCGGGATAGACATGCTCACTCACAGCACGGCGCCTCTGCGCCACAAAATCAAATCCCATCCTTTTTTCAAGGGTCAGATCCAGTCTCACCTCTTCCACGAAACCTTCTTAGGTATAGCCTTGCCCCTGCCCTGGAAGCTTCAAACAAAAAGTGAATCAAACAATAAAGTCAGGCAGCTTTCACAAAGTCACACGCTGCTCGGTGGCATGCTTTTCATTATAGCTTTCTCTGCGGCTGTTTCTAGGTCTTTGCTCAGACTCTTTTTCCTCACCTATATCAAACTGTCCTATATGTTATCCAGACTTCAAGAACCAATATAAGTCTCTCTTCCCCTTTCAAGTTTACAGCAAGCTCCTTCTCCTCTGACTTAGGTGATGTGCCCCTGACCATACTGTACACTTTCAAAAGTTTGCACTTTCCAAAGTGCCTCGGACTTCTTTGCATCCCTTGGAGCACCTAGTCATGGGCCGTGTACAGAGTCACTGCTCAATACATAGTCATTGTCTTGGTTTCTTTAAATGGATCCATCAAACAGATGTAAAAAAGGGAGATTTCTCACAGCACTTTTTTAGTTGGAAACTTATGTGTCTAGGATATAAACATTTACCTGGTTTTGGCAGAGAACTCAGCAGAATGTCCAATAATTGCTGTTTCTTTAAACTCTCTATCTGGGACACATAATGTATTGCTGACTTTCCACTAGAATCACAGAGTTTAGGATCTCTGGAAGAACAACATCAGCATGAAAGAATATTTAGTTACATCTGTTCAAAAAGAAAACCAATATGAGAGAAAAAACATTGACTAAAATACAAAATAATCTTATGCAGTTTGGGGATAATAATAATTTCAAAATGTATGAGAGAAAGGGTGACAATTTTTCAAGATTTTAAATAAAAGGAATCCATATCTTAGTCCCAACTCCATTCTAAAAGCATTCTAAGGTTTGCAGAGAATTTCCAACTTTGAACAAAAATGTTCATAATTCTTTGAGGGTACATAAAATCAAATAAAGAGAAAAAGCTTGGTAACTGTTGCCTTATCACCTCAAATAGCTTACTTGATTGTTTATCTTTCCAATGATTTAGCTAACTACTGACTTTCTTGATATTTCTTTTTTCTGATACTAGGAGCTAGCCCTTTTATCATTCAAAATGGTGGAATGGCATAGACTCACTCTTTAAAATTAAGCTAGGCACAGTGATCCAGACCTATAATCCTGGCATTTTAAGAGGCTGAGGTAGGAAGATTGCTTGAACCCAGGAGTTAGAGACCAGCCCAGTCAACATAATGAGACCTTGGCTCATTTTACATATTAGCCGGGCATGGTAGCATGCACCTGTAGTCCCTGCAACTCAGGTGGTTGAGGCAGAATGATTGCTTGAACCTAGGAGGCTGAGACTGTGATGAGCCATGATCATGCCCCTGCACTCCAGCCTGGGTGACAGAGTAAGACTCCCACTAAAAAATAAATAAACAAGTAAATAAATTAAATTTAGCTGAAATGCTTATTTCACAGGCGCTTAATTGAGTGGCGCAATCTTGTCATAAAATCCAAATTGTCCTTCCCTTTCCACATGATCTTTTCATTCCTCTTTGCCTTACCCTGTGGTTGCTAAGCCCAACTGGCTGATCTTAGGGCTCTTTACCATGGCGTGAATATCTCCTCAACTTCTCTATGCTGAATTAACACTAGCATTAGATAGTGGGTCAGAGAGACCCAAAGGTATATAATGAGAATCCTGTTATCAGAATATAGAGAGTGAAGCAATGATAAAACTAGCTTCACTTGTCACATTCTGGGGTAAGGAGCAAGCTGACTATAGTCTCTAACCTAAAACCACTGAATTTTAATCTCTTTATTGCTATGGGACAGGGTAATGTGCAATGAACCTCAACAATATTCTCTTGTGGCCTTTTCTCCATCAAAGATTATAATTCAAAAGAAATAGCCTAGAATCAGGAACTGCCACTATCTTGATATGTGGCATTAAACAAGTCATTTAACTCGCTGGGACCTCTGTTTGCTCATCTCCTTGGATTAGGGTTATTCTAAGTAGCCTCCTTTGACCTCCTGTATTCTGGAACCCAGTCTAGTCCTATTGAACACCATCTCTGGTGTTCAGTAACCTCCATTTTTATCCATTTCCCCAATTATTTCTTAACACTAAAGTCTGAGGTAGCTGGAAAAGTCCATTTTCATTCTATTATACTAATTGGTCCTTTTAAAATAGCTCATATCCTTGATTATACTTTTGTTCTTGAAGCTTCTTCCTCTTTTTTTTTTTTAAACAAAATTCATTTGAAATACTGAGAAAGCTTGGGCCATCTGTTCTTATTTGACAACAAGATAACTAGGTAACAGCTTTAGAAAACTGCAATTGTAGCATAAAAGACTGCTTATTAATCCTCTTATTATTTAAAAAAAAAAAGTTAATTGTTTACTTTCCCTTCCTAAAAGAGCATTTGGCATATAGTAATTTTAAGAGAACTTGAAGTCACTATTATAAATTGCTTTTGGTGCATTGACAGTGCTTTCTGAAATAATTAGTAACGTCCTTGAAGTAGCAAGCTGCGTACACAAGAATTATTTGGCATTCTCAGTAACTACCAAAATAGCAATTATTTAGACAAATAAAATGAAGAGCCAGATATCATAAGTATCATAGATAACCAATTTTAACCTCTGTACCTCACTTTGCAATTGCGAAGTCACTTTTATGATGATGCATGTGCATTTACTATATATAATAGAAAACAATCTGTGGGTTTCAGTTTCCATGTGGTTTCTGTAAATAACAATGGAATAGACGTCCTTCAGCCTTCAGCTGGTGCTGACTGACCCCTCATACTCACGCATGATGCCTGAGGAGCTCGGAGAGAACTTCCACAGGTCTGTATACTGTCAACATATCAAGACTCTCAAACAGGTCCACGTCTCTCACAGCCAGCATCAGAGGGGTCAGGCCATGTTGGTTTGGGAAATTTATATCCAGGAACTCTTCAGATGCCTTTAAAAACATGAAGCTTTATTTCTGTTGTGTTTTGACTGTATAACTTACGCTAATCTTTGCATTTCATTGCTTGGCCAATTTATCATTTTTAACTTCAATATATTCTTTTTCAATATCTATCTTGAAAGGGAACTGATGAGATGCAAATACATAAGCCTGAAAGGCAGACAGATCTTGGTTTCAATCTTAACTTTTTAAGGTAGTTATTTAACCTCTCTGATAGGTTGTACCAGGGACACCTTGCCAAAAAGTAACAAAATCATTCTGATTTTGGGACAAGCTAGGTGTGGTAGTTCAAGCTTGTAATCCCAGCACTTTGGGAGGCGGAGGTGAGAGGATTGCTTGAGTCCAAGTGTTCAAGACCAGCATAAGCAACATAATGAGACCTTGTCTCTACAAAAAAAATCAGCTGGTCGTGGAGGCATGCACCTGTAATCTTAGATACTTGGGAGGCTAAGGTGGGAGGATAGCCTGAGCCCAGGAAGTCGAGGCTGCAGTGATGGTGCCACTGCATTCTAGCCTGGGCGACAGAGTGAGACTCCAATTCAAAAAATAAATAAGGGACATACAGTTGGAATGATGAATAATCTTCATTTGGGATATACTCATACTAAAAAATTACTTGTTGTTTATCTGAAATTCAAATTTAACTAGATGTCCTATGTTTGTCATTTGCAAAATCTGGCTACCCTACTTGCTGACCTTCTGAACCTTCAACTATAAAGTTGAAACGATAGTGTCTACCATGCCGGGTTGTTTTGACGATTAGAGATAGAATATAAAAAACACTTAGCTGGGCAACCCCTTCGGGTCCCCTCCCACTGTGGGAGCTTTTCTGTCCTCTCAATAAATCCTGCTTTCTCACACACACACACACAAAGAAAAACACTTAGCAGGGTGTCTGACACATAGTAGGGGCTCATAACCATTTATTGAATGAATAAATGATTTACAATAATAAGGCAGCTCATTTTATCTATATTTAGATAGTCAAATGGAGGTAGACATATAAATACTGTTTATTTTTCTAAAGAAAAATTTGTAGAGACAGTCTCGCTAGGCTGGAGTGTAGTGGCTATTCACAGGCTTAATCACAGCACACTATAACCTCAAAATTCTGAGCTCAAGTGATCCTCCCACCTCAGCCTCCCAAGTAGCTGGGACTACTGTAGTAGTAGTAGCTGGTGCATGCCAGCATGCTCTATTTATTGCTTTAATGAAAGTAAAATTAATTTGGGTAATTCAAAACTGAAAAGCTACTGGAAGACAAATTGTTCATTTTATGAACCAAAGTAACTACTAATTTTCTTTCTTTCTTTTTTTTTTTTTTTCAGTTGGAGTCTCACTCTGTCACTCAGGCTGGAGTGCAGTGGCATACTCACAGCCACTGCAGCCATGACCTGCTGGGCTCAGGTGATCCTTCTGCCTCAACCCTCCAAGTTGCTGGAACTACAGGCATGTGCCACCATGCCTGGCTATTTTTTGATTTATTGTAAAGATGAGGTCTCGTCAAGTTGCCCAGGCTGGTCTTGAATACGTGAGCTCAGGCAATACTCCCAACTTGCCCTCCCAAAGTGCTGGGATTATAGGCATTAGCCACCACTTCTGGCTACTAATTTTCATCTCTATTTTATTTTGTACCATGTCAGTATAGTCAGTGTCCCTACCTTAGCTTCTCTAGGGACAAAAATAGAGATAATGATATTACTTCAGCAGGGTGCTGTGGGAATTAATTAGGTAATATTTTTTTCAGTCTCTGAGAAGAAATCACCTTTGATATTAACGTTTATTATTAGTTAGAACCAACATGAAGGTTTTGAGTTGAGAATAGTCTTACAATCTCTGCATCTAGTCACAGGCACCAGTTTCTTAAAACTTGGTTGCCAATCTGTTTTCATAACATGAAACAGACATTGGATTACAATTACAATTGTTGAAAATACCATTAAAACACAATTTATTATCTTTCAAAAAATGTCTAAGCCTCTATCCATGACGTGTGGCAATTTTAGACTATCATTTAGTACAACAAAATAATTTAGTGTTCTTTGGTTTTGTTATATCTATCCTTGAACCGTGCGTGACTAGAATATCTTTCACTTTTCCTTTATCTGTTTGCATCTTTACCATCAGGGATTAGAAGAAACTGTTTCCTAGCAGCAATTGATTTTCTTTCTGTTGGACGCTCACATGGTCTGACAGTATCTTTGAAGGTAAATGCCAAGCATAGGCAATTGCCAGTCACCAATAGTTAATGTCTTTAGTTATGCATATGATTTTGCAATTTGCTTTGGGAAAAAAGTATCTGTAGATAGAAAAATCTAAACAAGAGGATCAATATCCCAAGAAGACAGCATTTTAAAAATGGATCCTCTGAAGTCCTTTAGTCACAACTAAACATTATGCAAGGCCTGGGCTCTCTGATTCCCTTTTCAGGATAAAGATAATAACAGCAACTGGTCCAAAGGGACCTACATGGCAATTGTACAAATGGCAACGATGTCAAGGGAACTCCTCTGAGCAAGCTGACAGTAGCTCTCTGGGGGCTTCCTGGGAGCAAATCATTTCCTAGCGATGCTGCCTGTCTTCTCTCAGTATCCAGATGGGGGAAGGTGGAAATAGGTTACTGCTGTGTTCTTTTATTAGCTTGTTTTCCACCCCAGTATCCTGTTTGATCCCATTTCTTTCCATAGCTTCTGTCTGAAACTTTCTGGGGTTGCATTTGAAAAGAATTTCTTTTTCTTTAAAAGGAGTTCCATGTAGTCTGTGCCCTTCTCACCACCTGCCCACCCACCCAAAGGCAGAAGCAAACATTAATTTAACTAACCAGCAGGTGTTGAAGTTGTTTAAGATCGCCTTGCCATGAACTTTGTAGAAGTTGCATTTGGGGAGCCTGGATTCTATTGCTTGCCAAGAGTTGTCTTTGGATGTCACAATTAGCTACGTGGACGGCAGTTTGATGGCTGTAATTGCAAAGGGTGATATCTGCTCCTTTTTCCAGAAGAAGTCCTACAACCTGCAACACAGCAACATTCCTGTTTGGTATTTTTGAGTGCCAGTGATATCTTCAGAGCTGGGTAGAAAACTGACATGAATTCTGATTCATGACATAAAAAAGGAGAATAAAAATGGAGGATTGATGAGGATGTGGGTGATTGCTATGTCTTTTTTAATTTGGGAAATAAAATCTCCACGACATATATGATTTTTGGATACTATTTGTGTTTGACTAGAGATCTGTGAATACTTTAGGTTAAACCCACATAGAACATTGAAGTTTTGTTAACTGTAATTTAGAATCTAAAACCAAAGGGAGGCAGTGGTGCATGTCTGTAGTTCCAGCTTCTCAAAAGACTGAGGTAGGAGCCTTGAGCACAGGAGTTAGAGGCTGCAAGTAGTTATGGTCACATCTGTAAAAAGCCACTGCACTCCAGCTTGAGCAATAAAGCAAGATCCCATCTCTAAAGAAAACAAAAACGAGCTGGGCTCGGTGGCTCAGCCTGTAATCCCATGCCTTGGGAGGCTGAGGTGAGTGGATTGCCTGACCCAC